GCCCCAAGAAACAAAACTGAACAGCTGTTTAACAGCAGCGCACACACAGAGCTCTGCGACATCACCAACAGCTTTCACTGAGCCTCGGTCCTGCAGAAACGTCTTTAAAATATGGTTATAAACATGACTCGTGTTCGATTCATGGCTGGATGTTTCCACGTGCTAATCAGGAGCGCGACTCTTTGCTTTTACGCTCAGTTAGTCCACTGACGCGAGCCTCGCTCAGGATTGGATGTTTTGTGAAGACTTCCGTCTGGACGGCCCAAACTCGGGACCTCACAGCAGAGTTTACGTGTACGACTACGCGTCACATGACTGTCTCCCACACAAACGCTACGCGCTAACAGGTGGCCGGCTCCTGACGTCACCCCGAGCCAGTAAATTCTCCTTTTACTCCTTTAATTGCTGTTTATTTTTTAACAGGCTGTAATTACGAGCATTATCTGTTTACGAACAGCCAGGCAGGAAACGTCTTAAAGAATAAAGAATTAATTTGTCCTGATTATCCTGTAACAGGGAGCCGTATGAACACTGCATGTGGATGGAGTTTCCATTATAAACACAGCGTCTCACTGAACGAGCAAATAAACGTCCACGCTGGGATGTGCCAGATAAGCCCGAAGCATCAGCACGCTGAAGTGCTCAGCGTCTATCCCACAGACCGTCATCATGCACGAAACGGCGTCATGAGGAAACACGACCCAGGTGTTAGACCTGAATTTAGAGGGAAGCTTAAAAAATATTTTATCTTTACGTCTTAGCTTTTATTTCTTACTTAAACAGACAAGTTTTAATTTAAGCTTATTGTAATTTTATTCTATCATCACTTCATTTTATTGTATTTGTTAATGACACTTGGTGAACTCGTGGGACATTTTAAATACAGTTTTATATTTTAGTTGCTTTTGATCTCTAAACATAAACAAAGTTCCAGAGGAGCACGGGAGTCACGTGTTTGAAATATGACCGTTGGAAACACTCGCGCGTCGCCTCCGATGGATAAAAATCCGCTGCCTGAACTTCAGGATAAATTTAAACATAAATCGCTGGCCTGACAAATTAGATTTTAACGACCAATAAAAAGTGGAGCTGCACGTCGTCACCGCGTCGCATCTCTGCGGCGTCGCCGTCAGAGGAAACCATCATTAATACATACGCCATGACATCATCACACACTCAGATTCTTCCATCTGTAGTTTTTTTACATCAAACTGTCACATTTTGAGTTATGATCTCTGAAACTGAGGCCAAACTAAAAATCACAGCAGGTCACGTGACTGAGTGATGACCCCATGCTGCTGGAGTCTTTGTCTCCTATGACAGGTGACTTTAAGTGTTTGATTGTTTTTGTAATCTAAGCAGGCACACGTCACATGTTTCAGGTGAGGCGGCCCCGCCTCTCACTACACGTGTATTCATGCCACACGTGGACAAAATCGGTGCTAAAGGCTGGAGCTGTGGAGCGTGTGGATGTGGCCCTCAAAAGGATAGGAAGTAAATCAAAGAGTGAAGCGGGATCTCAGACCCGCGGCCGTGTGTTAGATCATCTCGTCTCTTCACTGAGCTTCTCGCTCTGTGACAGACTCCGCCTCCTCTCCACGGTGAGCTCAGAGGGAGCGCCACCTCACCGCGCTGTGATTCTGATTTACACGCTCACACAAACACTTCTGTGAATCAGGTCTCTTCAGTTTGAGCTTCCTCAGCTGCACAGGTAAAGCCTCCGTCAGTCTTCTTCTTTCATGAAGTGTCAGTCTGCACCACTCTGGCGCCCTCTGCTGGATGGACAGACTTTTCTTTCTTTTCTCTCTGACTTATGAAATTAAGTGTGAACAATTAAATTTTTTTTAAAAAATCCAGTGTGAACAGTGAGAAAAATAAAAGTCCCCTTTGAGTCTGTGATGTGAAAGGTCAGTGAGGGGTCAGTGAGTCTAAAGCCAGCGACCAATCAGCAGGAGCCTGTGAAATATTTACACATTCATGATTTTATTCCATTTAAATAAAAAAGGACAGTTTACATTTTCATATGTGCAGCTTCAGCGAGCTCACAATCTGGTTTGTACACGAACAGGCTGCAGAGCAGACGTGGCTCTTAAAGCGGGTCAAAGGTCGGAGTTTTGAGTAAAACTACGTTTGAACCACATTCAGACGCCATTCTTGTGATGAACAGACACAAACCAGAACTTTTCCTGAGGATTTATCTCTAAATGCATGATGTCATAATGTCAGCTGATCAACAAGGTTCAGTAACAGCTTTCAGTGCGTTTTCAGAAACCAGGAAGTGAAACATGAGCCGACTGTGTGTGAAAGAACCAACGAGCAGCTGACAAATCTCGTTTTTCTGCTGTGTTTTAAAACTCAAACCACCATTAAAAGGAAAAGTTTACCTTCATATCCTCCACGTTCCTCTCTGCACACATGAAGAGTAACATCAGTATGAAAGGAAAACACCAGGAAGTGAAACAACATTAACACATGTTCGCTGTAAGAAAGGCTGCAGACACTTCATTTCCCACAATGCTGAGCAAACGTGACCCTGATGGGTGAAACTTCGCTTTAAACTTTTTAAACATGATTGAAAATTTTGTACATCAAAAACAAATCACACCGTCGGCTCAGCGGGGCGGAGCTATTCTGTACATTTGGGGGTTGCCCCGCCCTCCGTGCTCGTGGTAAACACAAGCATATGTGCACTAATGGACAATCGTCCTATGATCCAGGAGCTCAAATGGAAAATTTCAGCAGTTTTTTTCTCCTTGTGGCTCTGGATGATGTCACAAAGAAAGCTTCCCTAATATGGTCATCTCAGCCACAGAAGCCCCACCCAAAATTCAAAAGAAAGGTTAAAGGGGAGTGGCCAAAGCAGCTTTTTTTCCCCCACACAGAGGATAAACTGGCCCCGAATCAGATAAAGAAGGATTATTATGAACTGTGGATCATGCAAAGCTGCTCTGTTAGTCTAAACTAAAAAAAAAAAAAAAAAGGACAGGAAGTGAGCAGAATTTTTCACAATAAAACAAATTGTATGAAGTTTTCTACACGTTAATTCTGTACAATAATAAAGATCAAAAATCTGCATATATATATATCCATAAATATTTTAGATCAGATAAATCCCGAGTTCAGATTACCGGCACAGAGTCCGACAAATACAAAATATTTTTGTTTGTTTTTTTACTTTTTGTTGTGAAAAAACAAAAATTAGAAAAAGTAAAAAGGTGACAAAATATCTACACTCATATTTACAACTATTAAATAACCAAAACAAGCATAAAAAACAAAACATCGATAAAGACAACGGCTGAAACGATTTCACTGCTGTACCACAGAGAAGTACCAAACGAGCGGCTTTTGTTTCACTCAGTGGAATCTCATTGGTTCGGCTTTTTGCTGGCGATATTTTAGATGCCACACCTCGCTCCGTACAGACGCCGTCACATCTTTGCGGGACGCGCTGCAGCTCCTCTGGGCTTCTGTATCTCATAATTACGACTCACTAAAACGTGAAAAACACGTTGGTGCCAGCTAAAGTTTATTTCTGACGTTTACTCGTCGAGCATTAGAACAGACTTCCTGTTCGCACGTGAAAGAAGAAGCTCAGCTCGTCCTCTGTCTGAATTATGAGGTACAGAAGGCGGAGCTTAGTGTGCAGAGAGCGCTGCGCGTCTGCCGAGGTTTCCGGTGTCACTCGGTGACAGAGGTGTGGCTGTGGGCGCTTCATGGAGCAGCTTCTCCAAGCTGCGTTCTCGCTGTTAAACATTAAAACGCAGCATGCACGCCGCTCTGCCGCGGTCGTTCTTACAAACATGTTGGCGTTCGTGGGACGTCCCCACGTTCAATTTGTTTTCTTGGATTTTCACCTTTTGGGAAACGGCAGGAAGCTCGACTCGTGTGCAGAGAGGAGCTTCCTGTTTGCTGGAGGTGGAACCGTTACCTGATGCAGGGACAGTGAGGTTACACTTCAAGTCTTTCTCCGACCTTTAACCTCCGACCTTCAGACTCCTTCTGATTGGCTGATTAAGTATTCAGCTGTCCGTCGGCGGGCGGGTAAAGGCTGCCTCTGAGACGAAGAGGAGGGGTGGTGCTGGTGGCGTCCTCGGAGCGAGGTGTGGTTGCCGTGGTGATGGTTGGAGCTGCTGTGGGAGGAGGGGGGAGGCGGGGGCGGGTCTCGGAGCGAGGGGGGGACGGCGGACGACTTGATGGGGACGATCCGAGTGTCCATGACCTCGCAGTCGACCTGCATCATCATCTCGTAGCCCTGAGAGGAGTTATAGAGGCTCTCTGAGGAAGAGGAGGGATGGAGGAAGAGCGGCTGGTTAATGATAATAACCACCACCATCATCATCATCATCATCAGGACAGCTGTATCAATAAGGAGAAGAACAGCAGCTGAGCCAATGACAGCCTTTTATCTTCACCATGAGGGCGCGGCGCTCGCTGGGCCGCCGTGACCGAGTCAGCTGTGCACGGCGGCGCTTGCCGAGTGATTCACAGCGTGCACACTCACCGTTTACAGACATGGCCGGCATCACCAGGGACATCTTGGGCCGGCTGGTTTTGTTGTGGCTGATGGCCGGAAGCAGGAGGTGATCCTGCAGGAAGACACGCCGTTTAACACGCCGTTTAACACGCTGTGAGAGCCTGCTGCTACTGTGTGTGCGTGTGTGTGTGCGTGTGTGTGTGCGTGCGTGTGTGCGTGTCATACCCGTCTGAACGAGACTACGTAGAACGTGTCCTCTCTGCGGTCGATGGCGTCCAGGAAGTCGCTGTAGGTGACCTCAGGACCAGGAAGCACCTGCAGCTGACTGCAGCACAGGGAGAGAATCATCAGGCTGGACAGGAAGTGACATTAATGTAAAAATGTTTCTCAGCTAAAATGATCTCACTGAGTTTCAGCAGCACAGAAACATTCAGCCATTTAAGTTTTGGATGTTTTTAAAGAATCTTTAAATGATGGTCATGTATGTCACTTCCTGTCTGACTTGCTGCACACTCAGCAGGTCTGCGCTCGGCGATGAAGAGCGCGTCGTACCTTTCTATGGAGCGGTGAGTCTGGATCGGCAGATATCTGGAGAAGTTGGTTTTCCTCTGCTGAGCTTTCTGCTGCAGAACGACACAAACCACAGATCCCAGTGAGCTGAAGACTGTTCTCCAGTAAAGGGTTAAAACTCTGGGAGATGAAGACGACTCCTCACCTGGGCGACTTTGGCCTTCTTGGCCATCTTTGGCTTTCCGGACTTCTTGCGATCGATCTGGTGTCGATGGACCCATCCTCTCAGCTCGTCCGCCAGCCTGCACAATTCAGAAGAAGCAAAGAAACAGAAGCAGGAAGGTTTAAATACAGCTGCAGCTCCTCACATCAGCGCGAGTCACGGCGCGAGTCGCAGCG